GGGGTTGGCGGGGTTCGCGGGGTACAGCATCATCATCATCATCATCATCATCGTCATCATCATCGTCATCGTCATCGTCATCGTCATCGTCACCGTCATCGTCATCGTCATCATCATCATCATCATCATCATCACCATCATCATCATCATATCATATCATGTCATGTCATGTCATATCATATCATCTCATCTCATCATCATCATCATCATCATCATCATCATCATCCTCATCGTCATCATCATCGTCATCGTCATCGTCATCGTCATCGTCACCGTCATCGTCATCGTCATCATCATCATCATCACCATCATCATCATCATATCATATCATGTCATGTCATGTCATATCATATCATATCATCTCATCATCATCATCATCACCATCATCATCATTATCATCATCATTATCTTCATCTTCATCTGCATCATCGTCATCATCATCATCATCATCATCTTCATCAGCATCATCATCAAATCATCATCATCATCATCACTGCCATCATCATCATCATGATCATCATCATCATCATCATCACTGTCATCATCATCATGATCATCATGATCATCATCACCATCATCATCATTATCATCATCATTATCTTCATCTTCATCTGCATCATCATCATCATCATCAACAACAACAACATCACAATTTGCCATCATCGTCATCATGAGTCAAGATTATGATCATCATCATGATCCGCATCCACAAATGACACCACCTACATCACCCACATCGTCATCAACATCTCCGACATCATCTCCGACATCATCTCCTTTGTTTCTGCTTTGGTACCTTGAAACCTTGAGTGCCTGAAACGCTAATTGACGTTAAACATGGTCGAACTTCAAATCAGATAGGTTCGAACTTTGATTTAAGGCTTCGAAGTAAATTCACATTAACAAACTCAGAGCTTGTGCAAATGCAAATGGAAGTCTATAGTGCGCAGAGAAGCGTTTGGGGAAATGTGGGGGGAAAGTTTATGCCGTAGAAGCCAGCGGCAGTTTGTGTTCAAGTTGAAGTTGAAACAGGGTTTTCGATTTAAATGATGTTTTGTAGCGTTGAGGAAAACCTTGCGTCAAGATGTGATCTTGCCTTACTGCGATCTCGGAAGCAAAAGCTTTATCCAGAGAAGCAAGTGTGTGCTTAAGTACAAGTGAAGAGCCAAAGCGTAGCAGCAAGTTATGATTGAAGATGAGCTATAACCTGAGGATGAATGTTTCTTCTCTCTCTCCAGATCATTTCTGTTAAAGGCCTTTTGTCGTATAGTTCCTAACAGTCCATCTCTTGGGGGGGGGAGGGGGGGGTGGAGAGACGGAGGACGGGACCATGTATATGTATGTATATGTATGTATATGTATGTATATGTATGTACATGTATGTACATGTATGTATATGTATGTATATGTATGTATATGTATGTTTATGTATGTATATGTATGTATATGTATGTATATGTATGTATATGTATGTATATGTATGCATATGTATGTATGTACGTATGAATGTATGTATGTATGTATGTTTGTATGTGTGTATGTGTGTATGTGTGTATATGTGTGTATATGTATGTATATGTATGTATATGTATGTATATGTATGTATATGTATGTATGTATGTTTGTTTGTTTGTTTGTTTGTATGTGTGTATGTGTGTATGTGTGTATGTGTGTATGTGTGTATGTATGTATGTATGTAATGTAATGCAATGTAATGTAATGTAGTGTAATGTAATGTAATGTAATGTAGTGTATGTATGTAATGTATGTATTATTCCAAACCTTAGTCTCTTAAATTTGGATTCCTGTTGATTTCATATGTCCAGGGAAAGAACTATGGAAAGAACTATGTAGCAATCCATGGAAATAAGTGGTGTTTCCACTAAAAATGTCACCCAATGAAGAAACCCACCACTTTGAAAGAAAAACGCATTGCTCCATTTACTTGGACAAAAAGCCTTTCAACATCAAGTTAGATGTTACATACAAACTTCGTATTTGAAAATATTGGTCCGTAAGTTGGAAAGGAAACCAGTATACAACAATATACAACATCTGTGTAATTCGGGGCCCCATAATTCTTCAAAAAGGAGAACACCAAAGAATGCATGTGCGCAAGCTCCAACTAGAAAAAAGAACTCATAAAAACAAGATTACGATGTGACCCTGTATACTGTAAAATTGGTTAACTAGTGCATTGATGAGTGTATGTATGGCTGTGTGCTCATGTGCATGGATGAACTGCAAATGCAAATCCACAGTTTTTAAGTATTGTTTTCGGTGCTGCGAAGACCACGGTAAAACTTTGGTAAAACATGGTGAAACAAATTTATAAACTGCAAACGGAATCCTACGTATTTGTAGCAGATCAAAGATGTGTTACTGTATTCTGTCGCTACGTTGTTGTGCATTGGTCCGCAGCAGTGTTGCAGTAACAGATTACAATCATTATAAATATGTCATTTTATCCAAATACAACGCTTAAACTTTATTGTTGCGTTTTATACAAACAAACCCCGTCGATATACTTCCAAACTTTCAAACATACACGAACAAACAAGAACATATAATTCATCTAAAAACTCAAACAGTCTTATATAAATCATAAATACAAAGCAAGTAAAGTAAAGCAAACATCAAGAATATACTTATATATAAAGTTAAACAGTTGAAGTCAAACCGAGAAGTAAAGTCAAAGTTATGTTACAAGTTAAAGGTTCTAAGTTTTAGTTATAAATTGTAAGTTCAAAGTTAAAAGGTTACAAAGTTATAAGTTACACAGTTTTTAGTGTCAAGTCATAACTAGAAGCTCTAAGTTGTAAATTAACAGTTATAACAATGTGTTTCAATTTTAAAAAAGTTCCTAAACCTTATAAATTGATTTATTGAAGTTTGATAGTCAAGAGTTATGGATTATGAGTTGTATTTTACAAAGTAGCTATAAGCTACAATGAGTGTGTATATTTGGTTTTATCAAGTTATATACAAGTATAAAAGTAAGTTAACATACAAGCCATTATTTGGGGTTTGCAGAACGGTTCGGAACGGTTCCGGAGATTTCCCCAGAACGGTTCGGAACCGTTCCGGATACTTCCAAAACCTCAGAACTATTTAGAACTATTTAGAACGGTTCCGGAACGGTTCCGGATTCAAAGCCTATAGGCCCCAGAACGGTTCGGAACGGTTCCGGAGACCTCCATATAATAGCATATGTTAACTTGTGTAATAGCATATTTAGACTATATAATTATTTAACTTTAATACATAGAGTTTGAACAAATAAGCACATACTAGTACCATAAGCAATGATGATTCGACACAAGCGATACTTTCAAACGGATATTTCAATACAAACTACACAGTTGTATGATTTTGTTAGAACAGATTCCACACAACAGTTTTCAAGACAGGTAAGATTTTGAAAGGGGCCACGCCTTCCATGAACAAACAGCTGAGAAACTTCCAGCCTTTTGTAGTCTACATCCAGTTTCACCTTCTCCCTTGTGCTCAGC